TGAAAATAGTATCCCCGCGTTCCAGTAATTTGAAGTACGTAGACGACGTGACGATATCTGAGATTGTTCCAACAAGGGAGGTATCTATACTACAAAACGAATTGGACGAAATTGGTAATTGGACAAGTACCAATAATATGAAATTGAACCCCAAAAAGTGTAAAGAGATGATTGTCTCCTTTCGACGAGATATTGAGCAGCCACCACCCACCTTAGTTGTTGAAACCATTAGTCTTGAAAGAATAGAATCCCACAAAGTATTGGGTTTAACGATCCAGAATAATCTGAAGTGGGATTTGCATATCAGTGAGATAGTAACCAAAGCATCAAAAAGACTACACATCTTACGAGTTCTCAAGCGCAGTGGAGTTTCACCGTTTCATTTACTACGAGTACATTTTGCACTTATTAGATCCCTGCTTGAGTACTGCTGTCCGGTATGGCATTCATCATTGACCATTAACTTGCCAGATAAAATTGAACGGGTCCAGAAGCGCACAATGCGAATAATCTACCCCACATTAAGCTATGACGCTGCTCTGGACCAAGCTAAATGTTCGACATTACGCGCAAGACGTGATGGTTTGTGCATAAAAACTTTTGACAAAATCAGACAGCCTGATTCACGCCTTAACCATTTAATACCACCTTCTCGGGCCAATGGACACAATTTTAATTTAAGGTACGGAAATAGATTAACACTGTTTCCTTGTAAGACGGAGCGCTTTAAGAAAAGCTTTTTTCCTACTATGTGTATTCAATCACATAATTTATAAATTTTGTAAATTTTGTAAATTTAAAAGTTCTTTCGATATTAATTCATAGATCAGTAAACTATTGTTGTAATATAATGCCAGTAACACAAGGTACTTTTTAATACTTTTAACTAAAGTTTGTAAATAATTTCGCAATTCGCTTTCATCGAGCGCGACGATTTTTATAATAAACCATTAATTAATATTAATAAAATTGCAACGGCTCACGGCTGAACAGTATAAACGTTTACAAATTGACAATAACAAACTCTTAAACTATAAAAATATATCACAATACAAGCTAAATTGCATGCACTGTGTCTGTAGTTTGTAGTCTGCTGTAAAGCTCATAAAAACCGATAAAAGCAACGTTTGTAGATCGAGTAGTAATGTTCGATCAATTCGAAACTTAACCATCCCCCCCGGGAATTTGAACTTTTTGAATTTTGACTGATCAAATTCTCCACCCCCTGTGCAAAATATGTCTTCAAATGCCCCACTGTAACAAGAAATTAAGCGTTCAAATGCCCCACCTTGATATGAAAATTATGAATCAGTAAATACAAAAAGTACAAAATATACGGAAATGTTTTTCGACAAGATAGCGAAATTCACGTAAAAAGTTTGGATACCTTGTGGAAATTTAACAGTTTTACACAATTATGTAGTACATACCTTCAAATGAAACACATAGATTTTCCATGCCCGTTTCTTTGAGCCAGTTTTTTCACAAAATTGAGGCCGTTTCCCTCGAAATCTGAGAAAACTGTATTTGCCGCCAATACGAAGTATTTTCTGTGCATGCAGGAAGCACGCGAAAACGGGCAACATTTTAAGA